TCAGAGTCTCTCACAACATCCATCTTAGTCTTTTCTGTCTTGTCTGTGTTGGTAATGACATTTTGCTTGCTTCCTGTTTGATGTCCTTGATGTCATCCCACAGATCATGTGATCTTTAACCATACCTGTTCAGTGCATTACTTCGATTCTTGAGGTTTCTAAATCCAGGTGGGATAAACGCAAGGTCGTATTTCTTCCAGTTAGGACAGGGATTATGGAAAGGAAGCATCTGAAAGACTCTAGAGCTCAATCATCACCAGTTCCTTCAGCTTGTCCTGTCTCCAATAAGGGCTTTGTGTTCATGTGGGTCCACGTGTGCCCACACATGCCTACAGCCCTTCTCTGTCTTCTCAGTCTCCTTACACCTCCTTTATAATCTGTAGAATGCTCTTCAGTTCTGTCCAGCACCGGGCCTTGCTGGAGCTCATCTCCTCTCCTTCCTCCCTGGCTAATTCCTGGCCACTCTCTGCTTAGGTTCCTAATCATGACCCTGCCTTACGTGTTTATTTCTCCCGTTTCAGTACTGATCATACTTGCCCTTAATTTGTGTTGGTTTGGTTTTTTTTCACTTGTGGCAAGAACTACTTACCAAACTCCACTCATTGGGCCAAAGACCTTTGTGATGCTAGTGAAATATTTGTCGATCATATAACACACTACAAGGACGACATTTGTTACTTCATCAGCCAGCCAGCCAGCCCATAATTTGATTCACCTCCCTCAGCTCCTCTAGGGAAGCCTCCCTCCATGATCCAGAAGGGTAGGACGTGGGCACAGCCCACCCTGCCCAACATGAGGTACCTGAACCCTAACCCAACGCCTGGTACATGATTTCTGACTGAATGAACGCTCACTGAAGAGGCACTGTTTCAACTGGAGCCAGGAGCTCTGGTGGCCTGGTCAGGAGGGACTCACACCACTGACTGAAAGGTGGTGCTTCTCGGGCAGTTCGAATCCACTAGCAGACCCGTGGGTGAGAGATGACCAGTGTCCTCCCGCGTGATTTACTGCCTCCTAAAACCTGCTGGAAGGTGAAGCGAGGATTTTATTCTGACTCAACAGCTAGGAGTTTGGGTTCTTAGAGATCTGTGACCTTGGACTCTAAGTCCCCTTGGCTTGCCTCCAAGACAGGGTCTTTTCAAAATCAGCAAGTTGAGAAAAAGGGGGTTTAAAATATAATCAAGCGATGGCTGCCTAAACCCCTAAATCCTCAAATGACCCTCATCAGACAGATGACAGCGTTCTTGTAACTTTTCAGTTCCCTTTTTGGTCAAGTAAAGCTCCTTTACCTCCATTGCGGATTACCTGAGATGCCACTCCTAACCAAATCATCTAAGCAGCTTAGGAAACAAGTTTGAAGCATTGATTAGCAAGGACCTGTGTTTCCCCAAATGCAGTCCATGGATCAGGTTGGGCCACAGACCACAAGGATCCTTTCAGCCACACCTGTGTATGACCGGGAAGTCGTGCAGCGAGGAAACTGATCAATCTGGTTCAGCCTGAAGTTTCTAAAATGTATTTGACCTTCAGCTCATTTTTCAGAGTGTTTCTTCTGTAAGATGAACTAGCATTCAAATACACCTTCCTTGGCAATTGCACGTAGAAAGCGACGATGGCTGAGGAAAACGGCAGGAGATTTTCTTGTTCCTTTTTTTAGCTACTTAGCTGCAGTGTACAAATGGCACATATTAGTTTGTAACTCTGGAGGAAGCACTGACATTTCGGCCGCAGGGCTCCCTTTTGCCCTAGTGGGTCCTGAGCCAGTGTGAGCCCTTGTCACTCTCCCTCAGGATCATATTTCCTTCAACTATTTTGGTTTACTGGAATCTAGAGCTTCAGTCATCACAGCCCAACCGTGCAGAAGCGTGGCCCCTCTTCAGAAACCAGACAACAGGATTGCCGGTGGCTGGGGCTTCAGCTCCAACCGGATGATGATGTCTATTCTCAGAAGTGATAAGCTTTACCTCTTTGCCAGATGGTTAATGCCCACCTTCTTGGGGCCTTTGTGCGGCATCCAAGTGATCACTTTTGGAAATCACCAAGCAGCCAAGCTTTGGCAGAAGAGGGAATGGGGGAGGGGGACATCTCATCTCGGCTTTTGTTTTTGCTAAGTCTTTTCTCTCATCAGACTCTTTCCATCAAGTTAGCCCCATTTCCTCATCTGTGAAAGCCTCTCAACACTTCAGACATTTTCCTCATACAAATCCTTTCTACCCAACTTGTCAGTAATCGTTGCCTTCTGATAGTTGAAGACATACAGTTAGTTGCCACTTTTGCCATTTAATTCTTTGCAGGATTATCTTGGTTGGTTTCTCAAAGCCAAGCCACACACTGCACCTTTGTGTCTACCCGGCATGCTGCCAGGAATTGCTTGCTGCTGTGATACAAATGTTTCCATTGAGAATTTAAATGATCATAAACATGATACCAAAAAAAGCTGATTTACTTTGTTGAAAACACTGGTCAGACTACTGGCATTGTATTTCTTCACACCACTGCATATATGAAAAACAGAAAGAGCTTCGCTTTTCTGAGTAAAGTTTAAAAAAAATCCATACTTAAAAAAAAAAAGGACTAAAATCACCAAAACTCATCTTAGAAAAGCAAATCTGTCAAAAATTAGGGTCCTTTAGGTCACTGATTTTAAATTTGGGAAATTTAACTTTGATAGGTTACTACATAATCATTCAAGAAATTAAGACTTTATGAGGAATGTGGCATCAGCAACAGAGGAAGACAACAATCTGCGTTATCACAGACGACACAACGCTGCCTGCTCCAAGTGAGGGCTTAAAACACTTGCAGCAAAAGATCAGAGACTACAGGTTCCAATACAGATCACATCTCAACCTCAAGGGAAAACACTCACCACTGGGCCGATAGATATGACAGATGGAGAAAATACTGTCAACAATTGTTTCACACTTGAATCCAAAACACCACCCTTAATATACTAGCAGTCATGAAATCAAAAGATGTTTTGCAGACATGCATTACAAAGTTAACAGGGGGAGGGAAAGAGAGAATAAAAATATTGATGGACTAACAAAACTTTCTGTAAACTTCCACTAAAATCACTATTTAAAAAAGAATGGAGAAAAAAGTGCAACAATGAAAGTCCAAAGTCTCTGTAAATTTTCATTAAAATTAATAAAATATGGGGAGGAAGGAATGGAGGGGAGTTTGGCATTTAGAAAATCTGCTGTCAGAGACCTCTACCTCTCAAATTTTACAGAGCAAGGATGTCAATTTAAGTACTAAGGTCTATCAAGCCATGCTTTTCACAATTATGTGCTATGCATCTCAATGTTGAACGATGACAAAGGATGACAGAAGTAGTAATGCCTTTGAGTGGTGGTGTTGGAGAAGAGTGTGGAACATCCACGGACTGCCTAAAGAACAAACAAGTAGATCTTGGAAATACTGAAACCACAGTGCTCCTCAGAGAGTCAAGGATGGTTCTGTGGAGGAAGGATGAAACTTCTCACATACTTTGGGCATGCTGTTAAGAAGCTAGTCCTCTGAAAGGGCTATCATGCTTAGAAAGGTGGTGAACTGGCAAAGGAGGGCAAAGTCCATCAGTGAAACGGACCCACACAAGTGACTGTCACAACGGGCTCAAGTCTATCAGAGACGATGAGGCGGGCACAGGCTAGAGCGTGGTTTAGACTGCTGTTCGTTGGGTCGCTGAGGCATAGTTGACTCCACAGCACCTAATATAAAGCAGTATGTTTAAGTCAGGTAACAGGGTCCCAGAGAGTGACAAGTTTTAGGAAATTACCATGTCTTAAAGGAGCTCCAACCTAGAGAGGGTTAAACCAAGTGGCTCCTAGGAGGCTAGGATTTTGAAGCTCCGTCTCATACTTTGGACACGTGGCCAGGAGGGATGGGACCTTGGAGAAGGACATCATGCTTGGCAGGGTGGAGGGATAGCACAGGAAAGGAAGACCCTGGATGAGACAGACGGACTGACACAGTAAGTGGAGTAAACAGGGTAGGGGGTGTCAGAGAGTGAGACTGGCTCAGGATAGGTCCGGTTTTAGAGCTATGAGTTGCAGTCAACTTGATGGCACATAACAACAGAGGGAGTCCTGGTGGCATAGTCACGGCATGCTGTGCTGCCCTATCTCCTCCCGCGGCTCCTTGGGAGAAACACAGAGGACGTCCTCTCTTCAGGAGGCAGCCTCAGATGCCCCAGTGGGGGGACGAAATGAACTGGGAGCACCTTGATGGCAGTGAATGGGTGTGAGTTTATCTTATTCATTTTACAGTGGTACAAACCATTCTTTTATACTTAAAAAACAAACCCAACAACAAACCACCAACCCCAGAACACAAAACGCAGGCCACGTAACCTTCAGCAGCCAGTTACGAAGGGCGCGGCGTGGAGTGCTGAGATGACAGGGGTCCCCGCCAGGCTCATTCGTAGCAAGACTTTATTGGACAGAAGCCCAGCAGAGGCTTTCACCTTCTCCAAATTCCCTTCAGTTTAAAGGAAAGCACTACAGTTGAAAAAGCAATTATATATAAGTCTTTCCTAGAAAAGTCCTGCTAAAACACATCTAGCAATTTCATTTGATTATATAAAGTAGTACACTTAGTGTAATTTAAACATTCCAACAGGAATCAAATCGTACCAGCAGAACCATTTCTGCATCTATGACATCTACATATAAACACACATGCAGAAGCAAGTATCTGAAAAGGTCCTCAGGCATCAACATGCGACACTAACACCTTCTACCTACAGTGCCTATTATTAAACTATGTACGGTATATATTAAAGCTCTTCAGAAGACATGAGAAGCCTTGTGCATGTTTTGTTGGTCAATGTGTATCGTGGCTTCATGTCTTAACTTCGTTTTTGCTTCTTCACAAAAGCGTATCGCCCTTGTTGGTTCTTTAAACCATCCTGTGCCCTTGTCACGTCCAAGGCAGGAGGAGTCAGATGATCCAGTCCACGCCTCCCGAAGCTGCTAGCGGCCAGGGAGCACACACTGTCAGTTTGCTATGGCCGGGGGGCCTTCAGGAAGGAGAGAGGCAAAGAAAGTCTTGAAGACAAGCCATGCGGTGCTCATAAACGAGGGGCTGGTCTGCCGCTCATCGCCTACGTCCCTGTACAGCAGCACGTGGTTAGGTTCTTCAGCCTCGGGATCGGAACCATCCTCCTACGGTTAAGGAAACACGGAAGGAAACAATTAAAGTCGTATAGAACACAAATCACTAGGAAGGGGCAAAGGAAACCCTTAGCCTGCCCAGAGGCAAGGCAGCCAGGCAGGAGGGATGCAGTGAGCGCTCGGCGGGTCCTGCCCAGACTCTGGTGTATCATTTATTTAATAATAAACAGTGACTTTTAACAATGGACTTGAGCATGGCAGAGAATGTTCAAGGTTTACCTCTGTTCTTCAAAGGGTCTGTGAGTCACAGTAGACATGACAAATGACATTAACTAGATCTTCCACTATTAGCAAACTAAGAATGAAGTTAGTAACTCATTAAATAGGGATGGAGATAGTGCTCCAGTTCTGAGTTAAGAAACCCACAAGGGGAAACCCAGGATAGTAAAAACATAAAAGAATTTGAAAATGCTTTAAGACATCATGGACTGTTTTAGCTGGGTTTAGATCATCTTCAGCAGTATTTTGCTTGCCTGTGATATTAATCATATTGTTCAATAACTTCCACATTCTGTTGAATCACCTTTCTTGGGAATGGGAACAAACATTGATTTCTTCCAGGGAGTTGGCCAGGTAACTGTCCTCCAAATTTCCTGACATAACCTGGCAAGCATGCCCAGTCCTGTATCTTTCAGGTCACTTGGTATTGCATCAATTCCTGGGCCTTATTTTTTGTCAATACCTTTGGTGCAGCTTGAACTTCTTTTATTACTATTGGCTCTTGTTCATAGAGCACTTTCTAAAATTTTTCAGTGTCAAAAATTTTTTTTAATATGAACACTGTATTCATGTGTCTTCCTGGCTGTGGTACTAGGGCTATCATTGCTGATGTCAGATGGATCCTGGCTGAAATCAGAGAACGTCTACTGTGTTTTATTGCCCAGAAGGAGGTCTATTTATGTTTTATTGACTTTGCAAAGGCTTATATTATGGCATATATTGAGAAGAATGGGAATCCCAGGACACTCACTGTGCAATGTGAAACCAACCTATACCTAGAGACCAAGAAGATGTTGTGTGAAAAGAACAAGCAAACACTGCATGGCTTAAACAAAGAAGTGCGCTTAATATCAGGGTTGTATCCTTTCTCCACACCTATTCAATCTGTATGCTTGGCAAATCACTTTCAAATGACTCCATCAAGAATATGGCATGCACACCCATGTTTATTGCGGCTTTGTTCACAATAGCAAGGAGTTGGAAACAACTTAAGTGCCCATCAACAAACATGGACAGGGAAGCAGTGGTATATCCACACAATGGAATACTACGCTGCATTGAAAAACAAGGAACTCATGCAATATTATTCAAAATGGGTGACCCTGGAGGACATCATGCTGAGTGAAATATCTCAGTCACAAAAGGACAAATACTGCATGGTGCCACTGTTGTAAAAGGGGACTGACATTGGGGTTAGGGTAAGACTGAGAAAAACTGGATAAATTATGTATACTGCATTAAAACAGATGAGGGAGAGAACAGTTTAAAAGCAATATATGATAGGGTATTATGGTTATCACAAGAGTCCCGAGAATCAAGGTTGCATAGTGGAGTGTACTCGGGGCTTGGGGGGAGAAGGTGCAGGGGGATTGTATACCAATGAAAGAATTTTACTTTTCAAAGAGAGGAGCGGACTGGGGCGGAGGGGTGGGCAGGGAGAAAAGTGCAACAATGAATGAATGGAAATCTAAAATCTCTGTAAATGTTCATTAAAATTAATAACAAAATAATTTAAAAAAGAAATGCAATAAAAAAAAAGAATATGGTATCAGGATCAAAGGAAGATTCATCAACAACCTGCTTCATAATGAAGACACGCCCTTGCTTGGTAAAGTGAGGACTTAAAGTGCTTGCTGCAGAAAATCAACTACAGCCCTTCAATAGGGATTGCATCTCAACAGCAAGAAGACAAAAATCCTCATCATGGGACGAACCAGCAACACCAAGATAGATATAGCTGCCAGCGATTTCACCTTGCTGGGATCTACAATTAACATCCTTGGTATCAGAAGTCAGGAGACCAGGAAACGTATTTCACTGGGTTACAAGGTAGAACATGTTCCTGACCATTTAGCACTTTTAATAGATTTGCTTGTGCCAAAATGCAAATTGCCGTTAAGACAAATATGATAGATTTTAGGGGAGCTCTGGTGGCCTAGTGGCAAGAAGCTGCACTGCAATGCCAGAGGCCCATGGTTCGAATCCACCAGATGCTCTGCCGGGGAAGGAGGGACAATCTCCTCCCGTACCAGTCAAAATATGATAGATTTTATGTTACATGCCATGCCCTTGAAATAATTACTGCACAAAGAACAAAGCACAGGCTGGGAACCCAAAGGTTAAGGACTGGAGAGCGTGCTGTTTCGTGTCCAGTGTGCATACCTGCAGGTTATTATTGGGATCCTGGTTCACAGCGTCGTAATGAGGCCCATTATTCGGCAAGTTCTGTGCTGGTCTCTGTCTAAATGGAAACCACCCAACGTGATGCCTTCAAAACAAGCACAGAAAAGGCCACCTTAGCTAACATCACCATGAGATCTACATAACTTAAACGTATTAGTTCATCTCAAGTCAACTGAGTAAGCTCCCCGTCCCTCCCCTCCTCTAATCACAGAAACACCATGAGACGCCCACAGCAAGGTCCATCTGCAGGGATGTCCCAGAAAAGGTCTCCTTGACTCTCTCAGAGTTCCTGGAGGCAGGCACTGTGCCGTGTCCACTTAGCAACAGAAGACGCAGCTGACGTGTAAAAAGTGCTCAATAAACACTTGCTTATTTGTTCAAAACCTTATACTTCTAAGTGGGAAATACGCGTAAACACGGAGCTGGGATGATAATATGACATAAATACAAAGAAATACAAAGACCTTATGTTTATCATAAACATAAATCAGGTCACCTAAATATATGACTAGAAATGAACAAATATACTGGTAAGTTTTCTTTGGAAAATCCAATTAACTACAATTCTTGAAGTAAGTATGACAAATCATTAACATGAATCAATTCTGGATATTATATTAACACTGTACTACTCTAAATCGTTCTTTTTAGAAAAACAAATATCCATGGTAACTCCAACCAAACAAATAAACAAACCCCTTTTCTTTTCGTTTCTATTACAGGGCCTATCCATCAAGGGTGGTTCAGTTTCTACTGACATTTTGGGACAAATTACTGTGGAGGCTGCCCCGGGCAGTGGAGGGTGTTCTGCGCCTCTCCCCACTAGATGCCAGGAGACCCGGTCCAGCCATGACACCGTACGAGTCTCTAGAACTGTCCACCACTGGGGAACAGAGCACTCCGGTGGAGCACCCTGGGCTGGGCCCCAGACGAGCCAGGTCTGTCAGATAACCCAGGCCCATGTGAGATGCACGTGGGTCAGCGCTGGCCCTGTATCCTAGAAGACAGCTGCAGCCTGATAAAGACAAGCTTTCTTATTCAAAATAAATACCATTTTCCTTTCTATGCTTCAGTAGAGAGGGGCTCTGGTGGCCTAGCAGTTAAGAAGCTGCACTGCAATCCAAAAGGCACATGGTTCGAATCCACCAGCTGCTCCTTGGGAGAAGGATGGATAATCCCTTCCCCAGCGATTTACTGTCTCTGAAAACCCACTAGAGGGTCAGCTATGGCTCACACCTGACTCAAGGCACACCAACAACTACCACCAACAACATGCCTTGGTAAGACTATGTATTTACAATTCCTATGCCTGGAAGGTACTATTCAGAGAAAAATCCTCTTGATTACACATGACTCTTTTTGAATACACCCACCCAGTTGTAAATTCTCTGCAATAAAATGCTAGAATGTCATGCTGCTTTAAATACCCTTCTATAATGAGCAGGGCTGTTCGGAAAGGAGCAGGATGTACTCCGCCTGAGTTAACGAGAGTCACGGAAGGGTTTCTGTACTTACAGGTACATGACCATGGTGGCACCCATGACCATGAGGAACCTGCTCAGGGACGAGTAGAAGTAGAGGATACTCAGGAAAACGGAGAAGGTCGCTGCTGAATAGGTCCAGTCCAACCAGTCCCGGTTCACCTCCTCGTCTTCCTCCACAAGCGGGCCGCCCTGGGCATTCATCCGCAAATTCTGGTTGGCTCCGGGATTGACCACGACTTGAGGAGCAGCATTCGGATTGGCTGGCTGGGTCTCAGCTGGAAACTGGTTCGGAATTGGGGCCGGAGCAGGTGAAGTGACCAGGGGGATCTCCTGGGCACTGGGTGGAGGGACGAAAGCCCCTGATGCAGCAGTGGCCGCTAAACTAGGGTAAGAAACGACAGAGACACAGACTGTTGAGAGCAAAGCACCGTGAAGGCAAGGGTTTTCATAGTCCTGCTGTCTTTTCCTGTCATCAATGGTTAAGTTCCGTCAAGGATTGACTCACTGCGACCCTATGAACTACAGATCTGAACCCTGTCCTACCCTGTGCCGTCATCACCTCTCAGACCTGTGAGCCCACTGCTGGGGTCACTGTGTCTGTCAATCCATCTGGTTGCGGACCTTACTCTCTTGCTGACCCTCCACCTTTCCAAGCATGCTGCCCAGACCTCTCCTAGCAACATGACCAAAAAATGTGAGTGGAAGCTTTACCATCTTTGCCCTCCAAGGAGCACTCTAGCTGCTCCCTGGGTTATAGGTCAGACATTTTAATTATATGTACATGTGGTCTTTAGCTTTGTGAATAACTTATTAACTAAGTCACATCCATAAATGCCTTTTTCTGTCCATTCTAGTTGTCACTATATGAGACAGTAGCAAGTTTTCACATACATACACCTATACAGAAAACCAAACAAAAGTCTCCCTTAAAAATAGAAAACAGTTTAAAAGTAATATATTTTAGGGCATTATGATTATCATAAGAGTTTGGAGTGAGGGTTGCAGAGTGGAGTATACTTGGGGTGGGGGTAGGGGGTTGCAGGGGGATTGTATACCAATGAAGGAATGTTTTTCTTTTGCTTTTCAAGTGCAACAATGAATGAATGGAAATCCAAAATCTGTAAATGTTCATTGAAATTAATAAAAAATAAAAAAGAAAAAGTAACCTATTCTAAATAAAGTCACCAGACTGTGCGTCAGACACAAATCAATTTGCCAACAAAGCAGCAGCTGTCATTTATACTGTTTCCTGCCCCAGAAGCAGGCACAACAGGGCTCTATACAAAGGGATAAACAGACCTATTTCTGTACTCTACTTTATAGGTGACATGAGTGGGACTGCGCTCCATTCCCAGGAGCCCCGGGCACACACAGCCTGGCGGGAGAGGACTCACTATTGCATGTAGTACTGCCGGGCATACATCTGCTGGAACCAGGAGAACTGCAGCCATCCGTACGTCGTGTAGCCCGAGAAACCAGGCCCCAGGCCTTGGAATGTCTGCAGGGCACCCTCAGGCCTAGGGAAGGATCACAATTTTGAATTGGTTTAGTATGAATGAATCAAGGAAATGTACATTCAAATTACGATCAAGAATGCAAATCAACGGGGTGGAAGAAATGTTAACCAAGGTGTGGTAGAAGGAGCTTCCTGAGAGTGGCTCAGTCATGACGCCCTGTGGGATGAAGGGACAGAAAGGGATGCTGCTGCCCCACCACAGTGCAGAGCCCACAGGAAAACAAGACCCCCCCCCCCCCAACCCCAGCTCTGGCTTCTACTCCGGGGCTGGGGGTGGGGGCTTTGTATTTTACACTTAGAAGAAATAAGGTGGATATTTTCAGGTTACTTGATTCTCCACTTCATTCGGTTTCCTGCTGAGTTTCACTGAAGGTGTAAATCTACCATTCATCCTTCAGAAAGCAGCTCAAAAGTCTCTTCTCCGAAAGTCCTTCCTAAAGGCAGGCACGCTCCCCCCCTCTTGCAGTCCTGGATCTGAATCTATACTGGGGACAGTGTGCACTGGTGACGACCACCTGGGGTCCTGTGCAGGCTGCAAGGGCAGGCACCTTCAATCTATTATTTCACTTGACCCCAAATGACCCAATGGGGATGGGGATCTCACTCTCATTACACAGAAGGGGAGCCTGAGTTGCAATTAGAAGAAAGAAGAGACTTGTACATGGTCATGGAGCTGGTTAATGGCAGGGTTGGACTTGAGATCAAAGTCAAGTTCCTTTCACAAAGCACAGCCTTAAACGACCACGGGCGGGGGGTGGGGGAAGCAGGGCGTCACAGCTGGCTTTGGCTTTTTATATAGTAAGCTGCCCTGGCAACACCTCAAAATGACAAAACTCTAGGAGGTTTGGGGGTCGGCTGTATGGTGATCTACAGGTCAACCTTTATAACAATGGCCGTGGACTAAATCTCTGTTGCATGAAGTCAGCTAGTTTTAATATGGTGAACTCCAAAGAGTCACAGCTCCCTACGGACCTCGATTCTCAAGCAGCACAATTAGAAGAAGGGGAGTAGTTCTATGTTGGATATCCAATAATGTAGCCAATCAGCCAATTTAGAAGGTAACAGTCTTTTACAATTTCCCTGCCCAGACTGTTTGTAAAATAGTATTTCAACAACAACAGATCTCGGTATGATATTATTTTTCATCTGTAAAAAAAAAATTATAATGCATGGAAATGATAATTAAAGAGCTTTTGCTACTTTTTTTAGATCTGATGACGATGGCAATGAAGATATGCAAAATAACTGGCATTTTTACAGTTTTATATTAAAATGTGTAGGAATAAACAACATGACGGCTAGGAATTACTTTTAAATACTTTACAAAAAAGATAAGGGTTAGTAAATAAAGTAAGTAGGACAAAGCTTCAGTCATTTATTGCACCTGGGCAAAATGTTACAGTTTCCTCTGGTTCTGTGCTTATTCAAGTTTTCTACTAAGAAAAAATAATTTCTTATGCCTCAAACATCTGGCTTCTCCAGAAAGTACTAAAAACTAGTAGAGAACTGACAGAAGCAGGGAAATAAGAGTGCTTCTGAATTTCAGCTCATTAACAAATTATTTCTTTCCCTTAAGAACTTTCACAGTTAATGTCACTCAGTCTCACTGTATAAAACCATTACTGTAAAATGAGTATAAGGATCCAAGAGGGGTGGGAGAGGGTGGAAGCAGAGGGATGAGGATGTGCAGGGGGAAGGGTGATTAATTATGGAGTGGTACAATGTGATGGGGGCGGGCTGACGGAAACTGAAAGAATTTGTTCTTAAAAAGAATATATTAGAATTTTGTAAATAAACTAGTAGAAAATAAAAATAGAGTACCCTGCTTGCAAAAGAAAAAAAAAGAACTTTCACAGTAAGGGACACCAAGAGCTATAAACACACCAGAGCTTTTAGTCAGCCTTAGCTATAGCTCTAAAAAAAAATTAAAAAATATACGGCCTTTTTATCTTGTCCCACCACCACCACAGTGCTTGGCACATCTCATCTTCTGTCACACAGTATTACAACCAACAAGGCACAGAGTTACTCAGCAGACTGCTTCAGGATGCTGACGGCGGTGTGTTTTCCTGGAGCAGCACAAATTCGCTGTCACGAGGGCTATCAACGGTCAGTACAACACAAACTCAGCTCTGGAGGACTGACAGATGCCTGCGTTGGCAGGAACTGAGCCTCCAAATGGTCCAAAAGGCTGTGTATGAAGTTAAATACATCTGTGAAGCCCTTTATGAAACAAAATTTTGAGGTTTTATGGTTCTGTGGCAACACAGATACATAAATACATCTTATTCTTGATGCAAATGTCTTAAATTTCCATTGATAAGTTGGTTCCTTTATGATAACACTCACCTAGAGATGTTCTCCCATCCAGAGGGAGAAAGGTTTCGAAGACCCTCTCTTTGCCTTAAGCCATCACTTGAGGAGTCCCCGGGATACGCTCCCTGATTGAGACCAGTGGGCTGCTCTGTGGACTCAGCAACCTAATAACATGAACCAGAACAAAGGAGCTGATACAATTGTGTGAGATCAAGTGAAAAGGATCATTCTGCTGTCAATAACTTAGGTCTCTCACCTTTGTCTCTGAATCGGAAAAGATAAAACAGCTGTGATGTTACACAGAACAATTCTAAAGTGTGTTCCATCTACTTTTTAGTTTCAAAATCTTTTGTTTTAGAACAAACTGGGAGGAGGGTAGAGAGAATAGTGCAACAATGAATGAGTGGAAGCCCAAAATCTCTGTAAATGTTTATGAAAATTAATAAAGTATAATTATAGAAAAAAAAAAAAATCTTTTGTTTTCTCAAGAATAACAATGTTCCAAAGTAGTTTTTCCATTAATTAGAAAGATTTTTGATAGTCTTGATAATTCTCTATATCTTACAGATGATAAATTTACTAATTCAAGTCAGATAGCAATCTAAAACAAAGGCAATGTCCTATGCTAGGTTCAAGTATTTTGGGAAACACAACTATAAAGCAAACTGAGAGCACATCATGAAACAATTCAAACTATTAAAGGTATTCAGTATGCAAATAATCACTGAGAGGGGAAAAAAAATAGCGGTTTTGACTGCCAAACATAACCAAGCGTTTCATTGCAACTGTGTGCTTTTCAAGCTGAGTGATCAGGATATGGTTATTGTAGGTCAGACCATATCCCAGAATCAGATGTGGTGCTTAACTCTACTTCTGCACCAAGACACTGCTCCTAGTTTGGCAAACCCTCATTTACATTGCTAACAGTTTCTAACTCTTAAAAATATTTTATTACATGGTTAAAAAACAATGAACTCCAAAACCAAAACCAAGCAAATTTCTTCTGAGAGTTTCTCTAACCTCCCTGACAGATGACAGCTATGGCCATGAAAAGCAGACATACCTGTGTGCTGGTTTCCGGGGTTTTTGATGGTGTCATCACATTACACACAAGGTGCATAACATGCCGTTTTACCTGCTGAAAACATGGAGGTCTTTTAGAACCCAAATGCAATCTGGTACTTGCATAAAATGCTCAGAAGTTTACCTATCGGTGACCTACCTGTGGCAGTAAGTCCCTGAGACACTGGTGATCCCGTAACAGCTTTCCAGAATAAATTATCCTCTGGGCCTCTGGACGCTTATCATGGAAAAGAAAGAGGTACACAGGTCAGCATCAGCCACCACAAGCTTTCAAACACAGAACTATTTTGTGCAAATAATTTTAATATGCATGCTTTTCTCCTACAGGGAGGAGGAACTGAAAGGCTTTGTATACAAAATGTTTTATGTAGGAAGTGCTTTTAACTTTAAACTAGTCAATAACATGTGAATGACAAATTCAAGTCCTCAAAACTTAAGACAATCTACTTCATTCTCCGGGAAATTGCTTTCTGCTACAGAAAACAAATTCTACTTGGGGCTCCTACAGCAACTACCTTCACAATCTGGTTTGGTCTCAGAGAAAACCTCAAAGTTCTCTAAAGGTCCATTTTTACCAAAATCATCTAGCATTGCCTCAAAATAACATGAAGCCTTTATAAACCCTCAGAGGCTTCCCCCTTTGTCATACAAACCAACTGGTGAGTGGGTAACATTTCACACACAACGTGGTGAATTGGCACCCGTACTTGGACAAGGGAAATCCTGAAAACCTGACTTGTTTAAGGTCACCAGCTTCAAGAGTTTGCATTCCAACCCCTCTCTATCACTCCATCCCAAGGAAACTGGTAGAGACACTACAATTTTTAAATAAAAGCTTAATTAAAAAAAAATAAATATTTTTTAAATTCATTTAAAACTTGTTTTAAATGTACTTTAACAGCCCCAGGAAAGCACCCTGGCAGCATGTGCAGTAGAGTGTTGTTAAGGAGAAAAATGGCCCCGGTGATTGACCAGAGTGCACTGGAATTCAGCTTATCAATCCACTCTTGCCAGAAGACCCAATAATGCAAAACTCAGAATAAAGAGGCTCCTGTTATACCACTTCTCACATTATATATAATTTTCTATTAGATATGTGTCTATATCATATATGTATATATAATACATATATATCATATGTATATATATTTCTATATCATATATATACGATATACTTCTATAGCATATATGTATATATATCATGTATGTATATATAATATATATTTATCTATATTATATATGTTTGTGTTTATATGTGTATGTATGTGTGTGTGTGTGTGTGTGTGTGTGTGTGTGTATCAGCTTGAGTGTTGTTCCCAACTCACGAAGTCCTCAAGGAAATTCTCTACACTGTCCTTTGACATATGATGCAACCACAAACGACGTACAAGTGCTTCCCTAATTTGTGCACCTAGGGCCATTCTAAGTCACGGAGTTACTCTGAAGCAGCTACAGTAACCCCACAAACGGTGCTAAGGTGAATTGTAAAAGACCCTGGGGTGCAATGTGTCTAAATAAGCGAGTATAAAACAAAAACAACCTAACAGGAGCTCCCACCCACACGTGAACCCTGCAGACAAGGGTCTCACCACCTCTACTTGCCCGGGAGGTGCCCCGAGATGTGCCCTGTGCCCAGAGCAGCGCGGACACTTACATAACGTCCAGGCAGAAAGTAAATACAGCGAGCTCCGCCCACCAACCTCGTCACGTGACGGGCGAGAAGGGCGGAGCTCCGCGTGATGTTGACAGATGGGGGGGGGGACCAAAACAAAGCAAGGAAGTGTCCGCGATCGCGATCGGGGGGGCCAAAGTCTTTAACAGCCACACTCCAAGCCACTCCTGCCACCAGCCTCCCCTCCGAGGAACGACGGTCAGACCCGACCGGGCTGAGGCCGGAGAGTCCGGGCCACAGGGAGGGGCTGGACCTAGAGGAAGAGCCACGTCCTCCTGCGGGGTGTGGGACTTTTCAGGACGCAGTGCCCGGCGCCCCCACGTCAATCGCACCCCCCGGTGCACGGTGACACCTGCACACCCTGCTCTCCGCACTGCGCCGCTACCTGCACGCAAACCACTGCACAGCACGGCTCACTTCCTTGTTTTTATCCATGGGGGAGTTTGGGCGGGGGATCCCACTGGGGCGTCCTAAGTCTTGACGTTTGGAGAAACCGCGGCCTGGAGAGTGAAAGGACTAGTCCAAGGTCAAACTGCTGTTTTAGGACCTTAGCTAAGGGTGCAGCCGTGATCTGGGGCTACGAAGGAGGGACCTGGGGAGGCGAGGTGACCACCCCTACCCCCGGCAGGAAGGCGGACTGAACGGGTTGATGGCGGTTAGGGAGAGGAAACGACAGTCACCGGGCAAAGAGGGAAGCCTACAGCACCTCCGGGCGGGCGGGGAACTCGGGGAACCACCGCCCTGGAGAGACAACCGGGAGACTAACCGCCGCCGGCGGAAGGCCAGCGAAGGGGGGAGGTTTTGGGGAGTCGGCCGCGGCTGGGACAGCCCCAGCAGGGAGGCTGAGGGTGCGGGCGGGGGGCAGCGGCAATCGGGGGTCCCTCTCACCGGGCGCTCGGGGTAGACGCGGCTCAGATGGGATTTGAGGTGGCCCACGCTCCAACTGCGGTCGCAGCTCAGCTCCAGGTCGCGGTGGCGCTGGTTGGGGCTCTTCACCAGGAGTGTGACGGGTTCAAGATCAAGCTCAGGCTGAGGCTCGGACTCCATGTCGGCTGAACTCTGGGCTCCACTGCTCTTCAAAACAGCCAGGCACGCGGAGGTAGCGGCGGCGGCGAACCCGCCTGCAACCTACGGCGACTCCAGTCTCGGGCGCGACACCCCTACCCCCACCCTTGGACGCCCTTTATAAGCACGGAGCCCCCAGGCCGCGCCGACGGAACACTCTGTGGCTGCCGCCCATTGGCTGAGGTAGAAGCCTTGGCCTTAACGTGGACCAATGGGCGCCGGAGTTGAGCGGCACCAGGGCGGGCTGGGACGTGGGCTGATGCAACCCTCCGCCGTTGCGTCACGCGGAGTCGTGGCTGCGGCCGGGGCGCGGTGCTATAGAGGCCATGTTTGGGGTTTGCTGTGCACCGGGCGCAGCCCCTCGGCCTTGCAGAGCTCCGAGAGTTTGTAAGCTGCGCTTGCTTGAGGTGCATTAGGACGAGTCACCCCACCTGATCCCTAGTGGCCCCCAGTTTCATAGTCTGCAAATTTTCTCGCAAAGCAGCCCCCGCCCACTTTTGGCCTTAACCACCGAGGCCAGCTTCCCTTTTCTCTTGTCTCAGTGGTCCCAGGACTGACGTCCCACAGCCAGTAGCCTCCCGACCCCACTGTCCAGCCCCAGCTGAAGAACTCCTGGCTGTGCATTAGAAGGACAAGGAAGAACCAGGATGGTCTGGCTATGGGGAAAGAGGATAAAGACATCCATACAGTTGTCACTCATTTTTCTGTGGCCTTTTTGGGTCATATGAATTTCTGGTGGCCTGATGGATAGAGCTGCGCTACCAACTACAGGTAGTTAGGATCCATCAGCTGCTACGTAGGAGAAAGATCATTTGTTCTTGTTTGAGACTTACAGAGACCCTATGTACAACGGCCCTGAACCCTGCTCTATCTTGAGCCAACCTCATTGTCTCTGACACACCTACTCCCATTACCCCAGTCACTGAGTAAATCCACCGCATATGTGGTCTTCCTCTCTTAAAGCGCTGTCCCTCCACACTTCCAACCATAATATCCCTCTCCAAAGACTGGTCTCTCCTTTGCAACATGCCCAAAGTATGTCAAATGGAGCTTCAGAATCTTTGCCTCCAAAAAGCAGCCTGGTTTCACCCACCCCAGGACAAAACTGTTCTCTTCTCCAGTGTGATTTACATACAGCCTGTGAAAACCCCCTGCAGGTTCAGCTGGGAGTAGCTGTCTCCACCACAATGAGTGAATTAGTTGCTTAGTGGTAAAGGTTACATCCTCAAGTGATCACATGATCGTCGTTAAGAACCCGTTAAGAAGACAAACACTGAAAAGACTCCTTTGAATAGGAACTAAGACAGTGGGGGCTGGGGTCCTCAGTTTCCTTAAATGTGACCACAAAGGCTTCTCTGCCATAGGTTATCCCTCCCTGGCCTCTTTGGAGTTGGGGTTGGCTGAGGGAAAGCCTTGAAGACCAAAATAGAGGCTGCTCTACTCCCATCCTTGTTCCAGCTGTGTTGTTCAGGTGTTTCAGGAGCCAAGTCCCAGTTTGGAGAAGACAGGAGGAGCCTGGCAGCCCTCATACAAACAGAACACCGCTGTTTCTCAGCTGTCGTTCCCTGAAGAGAGGGAGAGAACTTGGGAGAGAAATTGTCCTGGAGCTCACTTTTCTTGAGCTTTTTATCTGCTGAGCAAGACTCTACTCCTGGGTTAGAACTCAGAAGACCTGTGTTGAGCCCCGATCCCTGGCTTGCTGTGCTGCCGACACTGGCTTGAAATTCTATTTCAACTCCAAGAAGAATGCTGCATTTCTTTGTGTACTAAGTTCCACAAGTTAAGTAGCCCATCCTCCTTTTATCAAGATAGACAAGCAATTGGTGTTAGATATTAAAAAAAAAAAAA